CAGCTCAGCACACCCCAGGGGCGAAGGTGACATGGCACTCACTACACAGCTTGGAGACTCCTAGTGATCCTCCTATTTTCAGCCTTCCCAGTGCTGGGATTACAGGCATGCGCCACCACACCTGGACTCGGTCGTTGGCTCAGCACACATGGGGGCAGATCTGGTGTGGCGTATGGGGCTGGGTATCAAACCCTGGTCCTCGTGCTTGCCAAAGTAGGTGATTAATCCCCTGAGCTATCTCATTGGCCCTTCTGTAGCTGGCTTTTGTTTTTCTTAGTTTGACTTTATTTTTTTGTTTGAGACAAGAACTCACTGTGTAGCTCAGGCTGTCTTTGAACTCACTATGTATCCTGTGCTGGCCTCCAGCTTCTGGAACTCAGCCTCCTAAGTGCTGGGATTACAGACCTGTGCATCATCACACCTGGTTCAACTTCGGCTTCTTTGATGACCTAAATATTGATGTCCCTCTGCTGGTACCACAGAAGCCATCTACACTGACAGTTCACTCCCAAGGTGATGATTTGAGAGCCTGGGCCTCTGGGAGGTATACCAGTTGGCTTTCTCATTACTGGGACAAAATACCCAGAAACCACAATTTAAAGAAGTTGAGTCGGCTCAGTTTCAGTGGGCTCCCTCGCCAAGATGGGACAACCTGGCAGGAGATGGGTGTTCACCCCACAGCAACTAGGAAATGGGTAGCCCTAGAGGTACCAGGGTTAACAGTAGCCCTTTCAGGGTCATGATTCCAGTGACCAGCCCTTTCTAAGTAAACCCTCTCTATTCAAACACATGAGACTTGTGGAGACATTTTAGATCTCAGCCATGATCTGCTGTGACTAAGTCACAAGAGTTAGTCTCACTAATGGGACTGGCAGCCTGACAAAATGGGCCGAGGACTAGGTGTGTTGGTGCACACTTGCCAACTCAGCGCTCAGGAGGCTGAGGCAGCAGGAGGCTGAGGCAGAAGAATTACCTTGAGTTTGAGACCGACCTGAACTATATTGTGAGACCTTGTCTCAGAAAAATTGTCAGTGAGGCTTAACTGTCATAATTATCTTCTGCCCCTTGGTTTATTGTATAATTGTTAGGTTTTGGGGACCGGGGAGATGGCTCAGAAGAATACCTGCTTCCCTGGCAAGCGCCAGGGGCTGAGTTCAATCCTTGGTTTCACAAAAAAAAAAAATAATAATTGTTAGGTTTTTTTTGGTGGTGTAGTAAAAAGATAGGAAAGATAAAGATAAAAGAGGCCTTTAATAACTCTAAAGACATGGAGAGAATCCAAGGGAAGATGGAGTGGGGATCCTCTGACATGAGACAAGGAAAGATTTTTTTTTTTTTTTTTTTTTTCCGGAATCAGGGATTGAACTCAGATCCTTGCGTTTGCCAGTCAAGCGCTTATCCTACTGAGCCATCTCCCCGGCCCCAGGAAAGACTTTTAAGGACTGTCGCTAGGAGTAAAGTTTGAGGGGTAGGTCTAGTGACACTTAAAGAGCTGACTGGTGTCTCTCCTGTGCATACGGGAAAGGTGAGAGAGGAAACTGTACCCAGGACTGAGTTGGGGAAGAAGGAGGAAGTGGTGATTGGGAAGACAGGCTGCTTTTTTTTTCATTTTCATTAGGGAAGGGTCTATGGGATGTCCATGGTCTCACTACTAGATTGGACTCATAGTGATCCACCTCTTTATAGCCTCCCAAGAGCTGAGATTATATGCGTGCACCACAACGCCCAGTCTCATTCACCATCTCAGCGCACCGCGGGGACTGGGCCGGCATGGCAGGGCCGGGGATTGAACCCCGGCCCCTGTGCCTGTTGGCAGGCGCTTTAATCCGCTGAGCTATTCGGCCGGCCCTCAGGCTGTTGTTTTAAGGGATTCAGCCATGTTAGATGACCAGCATAATTCAGCAATTCATACTAGGGCCAGAACTTATCAATGATATCTTTCAACTCATTTCCTATTTAGAAAAAAAGTACAGCTCAGTGGCATTGTTCATTGAATTTTCATTGATTGAGAATTACTGTATATATTTGTTTGTTTTTCTTTTTTTTACCACCACACCTGGCTTTCTCAGGCTTTTTTTTTTTTTTTTTTTTTGGTACTAGGGATTGAATGCAGGACCTCACACTTGCTGGCAGGTACTTAAGCTGCTGAGTTACCTCCCTAGCCCAAGCCTTAGGCTCTTGAGTGCTCGGACTGCAGGTCTGGACCCACCACACCTGGTTCATATCTTTCATTTTTTTTTTTTTTTCCAGGCAGTTGGATGGCAACTTTTATAGCTGAAATGGATTCGGTGGGGGACGGGTTGGGCATTTGGAATGAAGCTTATACATCATACCACCTTCTCTCCTTGCTGAGAGCTGAAAGAGTGAGACTCCCTCTGTGGGAAGCCATTAACTGGTATCCATTTTATAATAGTGTCAGCCATTTTCTTAAGTTTCTATTCCCCTGCTGAGTTAAGTTTCTGCTCCTTCCTGCCTTGCCCATTCCCCATGATATGCCCCAGGGGTGGGATCTTCCTCCATTGCCTTGATATCTGCTGACCCCAAAAGTCGAGACTTCCTCATTCCTACACTCCCTATATATACCCAAAACCTCCCCTGAATAAATGAGACTTGATCAGAATCCTGTCTTGTCTTCATTCTTTGTGTCTCCTGTCGCTTCTCACCCTCACTCCCCCTCTAGAGTCCTTGTTGACTAACCTGCAGTTCGGGACATCCCTCAAAACCTTTTACAAAGTAGTTTCCTTGAAACTTTTTCTTGGAGTGGGGAGGACTTAGGTGAGGCCAAAATAGATTTTTTTTTTTTTAAATGTAGGACTTAACATATTCTTGCTTTTTTTCCCCCATAATTTTATTGAGAAACAAATAGCAATGAGACAGTTTCAAACCAAATTGGTAGGACAGTTTTAATAATTAACACATTGCATACATTCTTCCTAGTGGTTAATTGCTGTGCAAGATGCGGACTTGATATCCTATTTACAAACACCATTAGAACAAATCCCTCTATTCATTAAGAGAATGTAACTATATATCTATCCTAACCACTTTGAATACACAGATACAAAATGGACATTCATCTGTATCCCCTTTTTTTGTTAAGTTCCATCATTTAAATATTATAGGTGTGTAAACTCAGCAAAATATTCTAAAAGAGTTCAGTAGTCCATAATAGTATTGGGTCTTCTGCTTCACTGGCTGGCAATGTCAGGAATTGTTGACCTGAGTCCCCTACAGCTCAACATAACACCATAGCTTTACTTCTTATACTTTGTTTTTATACTTTTCTGCTGGATGGTTAAGATCAAGGTAAAGCAGGAACTTTCTTTCTTTCTTTTTTTTTTTTCTTTTCTTTTTGGCTGGCTCAGCCTGTCCTGAGGATGGGGCTGGCACAGCATGTGGTGCCAGGGATTGAACCACTGTCCCCTGTGTCTGCCTAAGCTTGCCTAAGTAGACACTTTAGACCACTGAGCAATCTCACTGGCCCCTCATCTCTCTTTTTGAGGTACTGGGTATTGAATGCAGGGTCTTTGCTCTGAGCTACATTCTCAGACTTTAAAAAATGTCTTTATTTTGAGATAGGTTCTTGCTAATTCTGGGTTTGAATTTATAATCCTACCTCAGCCTTCCAGAATTCAGGGATTCCAGGTGTTTGCCACTGTGTTCTTTGTGTCATTCAAAAACATGTCACTGGATGTTAGTCTCACCCAGATAGCCCAGATGATCTCATCTTGAGATCTGTGATCTGTAAAGATCCTTCCTCAAATCAGGTTGCAGTTACAAGCCAGGCATGGTGATATATCCCTGTTGTCCCAGCATTTGGAAGATTGAGACAGGAGGTTGCCATGAGTTTGAGGCCAGCCTGGGCTACCTATTGAGCTCGAGGCCAGCCTGAACTACATAGGCTACACCCTGTCTCAAAAAAAAAAAAAAAAAAAAAAAAAAAAAGTCGCAGATACAGTCAATGCAATACAGCACCCCACTTTATTTTTATTCTATTCTATGCATTTGGCACAGGGTCTACAGGGACTACAGGGTCTCACTACGTAGATCAGACTTGTAGTGATCCTTCTGTTTTCAGCCTCCCAAGCACTGGGATTATAGGCCAGTGCCACCACTTCCAGGTTTTTTTTATTTTTAAGCCCCCTCCCCCACTTTAGAGGTCTCTGTTTACCCATTACAGGAATGAAGGAAGGTGTCAAGGTTTTGGAGTGGAATGATAAAAATAATGGGGTTCTCAGGAACCAGAGATCAGCTCTATGCGGGTTCTTGGTGGGTGGAGCCAAGTCTAGGGTCTCAGTTCCTCATGTATGAAACGGTGATAATGTTCATCTCTTAAGTATCCCTTAAAGTAGGGACAAATGGAAAGAGTCAAAAGATGTGGTATAGAAGTGCACAGTATGATTACCTTTCCTCTCCTCTCTAAATCCATCCAATAACACTGTCTCCAACCAAGCGTGGTGGTGCATGCCTGACAGGAGGATGAGGCAGGAGGATCCACGGGGTGGAGACCAGCCTGGGCTACATAGTGATACTAAGTCTCAAAAATCAACATAACCCTCCTCCAAAAAAACCCCCATAATAATCCCCCCGCCCCCCCGCCCAACACAAAAACACTGTCACTATTTGTCGACTTCCCCTTGGAGTTTGTCCTTTTCAATTGTGGGTCCTGTACAGCTCGGAGCATCCAGTAGGAGTATTTGGTTAAATGATGAGGTCTTTCGCGAGAGAAACACTGTTGTAAAGCTAGTTTTCCCCCTCGTTCTGGCACTGTTTATTCTGGGGTGAAAGGATATCTAAAAATCGTTCCCGGGTCCAATATGGCGCTGTTCTGCTCCTTGTACGGGCCTCAAAGATGGCGACCTCCACATGGGGGCAGACATATTTGGACCATGTGACCCGGTCCTAAGCCAGAGTTGGCCGGAACGTGACGCAAAGTTGAGGCGGGGCTTCGCCCCTGCCCCCTGGCGTCGAGAGTCTCGTGACAGGCACTTCCGCTCGGGGCGGCGGCGGTGGCGGAAGTGGGAGCGGGGCCGGAGTCTTGGCCATAAAGCCCGGGGCGGCGGCGACGGCGGCGGTGTTAGGGGTTAGCAGAGCGCGGCGGAGCCTATAAAAACCTGAACTTGGTCTTCCCTGCCCTTTTTCCTCCGTCGTCTCTTCGGCGGGAGCCCTTGCGACGCACACGGCCCGGAGTCCTCAGCGCGGCGGCCGCGGTAAGCAAAGGGCCCAGCTTGGACCCATCCCCCATCTGGGCCCCTCTGTCGCCGGGGCCCAGCGTCTTCCGTGCCCTCGGTTGGCGCGCGGTGCACCTCGCGCCTCGCGGGGAACCTGCGAGTGGCTCAGGCCTCTGGATCAGGCCTGACCGCACCCGTCGGGAGAGGTCAGAGGTCGCGGGGCATGACCTCCCGGGTCGCAGACCCCAGGCCGCAGATCCTAGGCGCTTTGTTTACTGGTGGCGTCGAGATCCGGGCTTGAGAGGATGTCCTGGCTTGGCCGTTCTGACCAGTTGTGTAGGCGCCGCCTCCACCGCAGCGGTATCGCCGATCATGGACGCTGGGGACAGGCGCCCAGGACTGAGCCGCCGACCCATCTGTGTCCCCTGTGATCATCAGCCTGACCTGGTTAAGGGCAGAGTGGTTCAGGCGACCCCTGAGTCCTGGCCTTGAGTCGGGTCCTGTGCGCCGGACTCTGCCCAAACACTTGTGTCTGCGAGGCGCCGCAGCCCCGAGAAACAGGGAACCTTTTAGCACCGCATGGACAGCGAATCCTGAGAGGTTTCCAAAGTTACTAGGGGAAGATGGTGGGTTGCAGAGTTCTGTTTAGAGTTTGGCCGCCTTGGGGACCACTGGGTGCTTTCAGTTCAGGCTGGGTACCCGAGGGTTCGTCGAAGTGGGAATACTTGTGAAAACACGAGTAAAGACCTGAGTATTTGTTCCCTGGGCAGTCCAGCAAGACCTTTATGCATTGTTATTAGTTCCCTGACCAACTTGGGGACCACAGTTGTGCCCACTTAGAGGTAGAGAACTTAAAACAACAGAGAGAATGAGCCTTCTGTTCAGGGCCAGGCTGCTGATCGGTAACAGTAAGAGTAGTGATTGCAAGTTCTGGGGCACTCTATCCAGCCTGTGGGTTGATCTTCCTTTAACTGCTCCTAAAGCTTTGGATTTATTTTTTATTTTTTTTGCCATCTGGTATCTGTCCATCACCCCTGCTGTCTACCAGTTTCTTAACTAGTGATGATATTTGAGAGCCTATCTGCCTTAGTTCTACTTCGAAGCCGTATTTATTTGCAGTTGGGGCTTATTGAGTCCATGACATTGTAGTGTAGTGCTAGCACATGAAAGGCTCTCAAATTCTGGCGGAGGACTTGGGATTTTGTTTTTTTGTTTTTGTTGAGACAGGGTGTCCCTAAGTAATACAGCCTGACCTTGAACTATGTAGCCCCACTCTGGCCTGAAGCAGCAATTCTCATTCCTCAGCTTCTGAGTGCTGCAGTTATTGGTGTGAGGTACTACACCTGGCAGGGTTTGAGATTTTGAAAGTTCTCACTATCTAAATTGTTTCTCAATTGAGTTAGCACTGGCAGACCTGCCCCGTGAACCTGCCATTCAGCAACAGGTGGCCTGTCGCTTGGTTCTTTCCAGTTGAATCTTTGGATTCCAAAAGAACAAGCTCTTTCTTCCTTGTGACTTAACAGCTGATTAGCCACATGACTTCTCATCCTTGATTAGTAAGCCTCCTGTTGGAGTGTTCCTCTCTTCAAACTTGGATCTGTTCAGACTTGAATCTATGACTGGAAAATGAGTTACGAGTATTGTGAAGGTAGTGCTTCCAAGCCCCTTGTGTTCAAGCTCATCTGTGTTTGTTGTGTTTACTTTGCTCCCTGGCCTGGTACATGCAGTGAGTAAGGAGCGCTGAAAGCCTCACTGGTTTGCATTGGGAAGAGTGTAATGATGAGCATCTTTGTATTCATTCATGAAATGTTTTGGAGTCTCCAACATGCATGTGTCAAGCATTGCTGGGTGTTGACTCAGAGCTCAAGCATGGTTCCTGTCCTCAAGGAATTATAGAGTGGCCAGGCATGCTGTTGTGGAGTAACTTGGCAATAGAACTTTAGGCGTTTGGAAAGAGGAGTTATTCCTCCTGTCTACAGGTAAATCCATAAAATAGTCTAAATGGAAACTTTTGTTCATGTTAACCGTATTTATTTGTATGGTCTGCTCTTGAAAGGCAGCAGAAGATAATTTACTGTCTCTAATTTTTTTTTTTTTTAAACCTTTTGAGACAGTAACTATGTAGGTTTTTTTTTTTTTTGAGGTTGGGAGTTGGAGGCTAGGGGGATGAACTCACTATGTACCCTAGGCTGGCCTTGAACTTGCAGTGATCCCAAGTGCTGTGATTACAGTTGTTTGCCACCGCAGCAGTCTGATTTTGTGTTTTGTTTGGTATCGGGAGTTGAACTCAGCACCTTGTGCTTGCCAGGCAGGTGCTGTGCCACTGAGCTTGAGCTATATCCCCTGCTTCTGTTTTTGTTTTTTTGTTTTTTGAGACAGGGTTTTATCATGTAGTAGAGGCTGGCCTTGAACTTCTGCCTCCCAAGTGCTAGGATTACAGGTGTGGGTGGCTGGCTGAAGTTTTTCTTTTAAAGAGTAACCTTCAACAAACTTCTTTTTTTGCTCTAGTGACATTTTTGTTCACAAAAGAGGAAATGGGTGTCACTATCATTACACTGTACTGCAATGTCTTGGAGCAGAGACACATTTGGCATACTGTTTTTCCTTCAGCTGACAAGAATTACTGTGGCACCTGCCAGTCATGATATCAGTACCATCTTAAGAAAACCCAGTGCCACCTTGTCTCCAAGTTCTTTGGGTCCCTGTCTTCAAAAGGGGATTTAGGTTTTACATTTGTGTTAGAGCTGCACAGGGTAAGAAACAGATAGTGCAGTGTAAGAGAAGGCACTCTAAAAATAATTAGTATCACCCTCAGGTGATGGCTAGCAGCCACTTGGGCTGATTTCTTTCCCTTTCTTCCCTTTTGTGCCAAATGTAACTCATAATTAGACCCCCTAAACCCTGTAATCAAAGAGCAGGGCATTCAAGTGCTTTGACTTTATTTATTTATTTTTATTTTTTATTTTTGGCGGAACCAGGGATTGAACTCAGGCCCTTGCACTTGCCAGGGAATCGCTTATTCCACTGAACCATCTCCTGCGCCCCCCTTCAAGTGCTTTGCATTAGCCTTGAGTCTGACTTTATCAAGTAAAATACAGTTTTACTTACTTGATTAGCTTTCTAATCAGTCTTCAAAGAGTTTTTTTTTTTTGTCTTTGAGACAGGGTCTCACTGTGCAGTTCAGGCTGGCCTTGAGCTAACTTTGTAGCCCAGGCTGGTCTTGAACTTGCAGTGATGCTCCTGCCTCAGCCTCCTGATTGCTGGGATTACAGATGTGTGCACCACCACACCTGACCAATCTTCAAAGAGATCAGCACTGCTAACATTTCATTTTATTTATTATTTTTTAATGTATTTGGTATAGGGTCTCAATACACAGCTCGAACTTGTAATCCTGTTTTCAGCCTCTCCAGTGCTGGGATTGATTAGAGGCATGTGCCATCAGGTCTAGTCTTGGTGGCCAGCTCAGCACACCCTGGGGTGGGGCTGGCACAGCATGTGGTGCTGGAGATCAAACTCAGGTTGGTTGCCGAGTTTGCCTAAGAAGGCGCTTAGTCTGCTGAGCTATCTTGCTGGATTTTTTTTGTTTTTTGAGATAGGGTCTCTGCAGCCCAGGCTGGCCTTGAACTCATGCTGTGCACTTAAATATTTTAGCCTGTAACATTAGGTGGTGTTTTTTTTTTTTTTGTATTGAGGGTTGAACGAGTGTCTTCTAAATGCAGAACAAGTTTTTTACCACTGACTTTTTTTTTTTCCTGGTCTTTTTGGAACAGGGTTTTACTGTTCGGGCTGGCCTTTGACTTCAGCCTCCTGAGTGCTGGGATTACAAGGGTGCTTTGCTACACTCAGCTAAAATTATTTTGAGGCAGGGTTTTACTTTTTTTTTTTTTTTTTT